GTGCACTAATCTCTTTGGAGATAAAATTCACTAGTGTGTAACTAAATGTTAATTTTTTTTGCAGAAAATACAGTACCATGCCTGAATTAATTGTTAATATTTAAAATATTTCATTCCTTAATTCCCTCATTTGCTTTTTTGCCCATGGCCTACTCAGTCCCTTTGTTTGGCAGAATCCTGCAAAATATATGTTACCCACTACTGAGATTGTTGAGCCCCCAATGTGTTTGTATTGATTTGTTTCTGGTGGTAGCTTGTCCTAAAATGTGTGTAGCAAACAGGTATTTTACGATAAATTGTTATGTAGTGCATGCTCTGTGTGGAATTCAGAGGAAAACCCAGATTCAGTGATTAACAATGCCAAAAATGCAAGTAATTAGCCATTGTTCAAATAACAGTGGTGCTATTTCTCTTTTGTGGCCTTTTAGACTTCTTTTGTCCTAAAATTCCATTTTATTGGGAAACCAATTTCCACCTGGTCTTTCTTGACAGAGTTTTTTTCTACTTTGAACAGTTTCTAAATAAAATTCTGTATTTCAAGAGTGTCATGTCTTCTGAAATTTGTTTTGCTCTGGGCATAAAGAAATTTTTAGGTTTTAGTACTACAGTATCTGCTTTTTTCTTATATTAGGGCTAATCTTTTCAAATTCCTCTTTTTTTGTCAAATGTGCTTACCTAAGTCTGCTTCCTTTTTTCTTCATTCATATTACCTTTCTCTGTCTCCTGCTGTTTTAAATTCTCTTTACTGTGGGAGATTTTTCCTTTCAGAAGTTCAAAGCTTGACCTAGCTTCTGTGAAACCTTAGGCCATGTCCTTCTGAGAAATGCAGCAGGAATGTGCTTGGCAGAGGATTATAGGGAATGAATTGAATAATGTATATCATATATATATTCTTTTTTTGGGAACTACATTTGAAAGGTATTTAACAATCTCTTTTTCCCTCCTTTATAAAGTTCCATGTTTTTAGAAATGGGTTTAAAAGGCAACTTGCTGCCATTGTCAGTACAAAATAAAGTGAAATGGGTGGAGTGTAGATATTTATATGGTTTTTAGAATACTTAGCAGTTATGGGTGATCTAGAAACTCAGCTTGATAATTTTGGCTAAGGATGTACCCACATTACTTTCTCTAGAAGTTAATGGTATATGTTCTTTGAAATGGTACCCAACTTCCAAAGAAAATTGACACCAGATGTGTTCGTAATCTACAAGAAGATACCTCCAGGAGTACATGAAGCTTGTAAAAACACTGTTGGGTGTTCTCACTAACTTGAGAAGTAACTTGGTATGGGGTAAAGCTGTTACTGTGTGTACCTGTGTCCTAAGCCCCTTGACCTGGCACTTTAGGCTGAGGCATATACTTTTTTTTTTTTGAGATAGGGTTTGCCTGTGTAGTTCAGACTGGCCTTGAATTTTGTAACCTGTGCTGGGTTTGAACTCATGGTGATCTTCCTGCCTCAGGCTCTCAAGTGCTGGATTATAAAGGTTTTTCTTTGTGGGACTGGGGATCAAATTCAGGACCCTGCGCTTGCCAGGCAAGCGTTTATTCTACTGAACCATCTCCCTGGCCCTGGGATTAAAAAGTTTTGATGTGATTACTTCAAGTTAGATTATTGGTGCTGTCAGTTTGAATAGGCTGCATGGTTTGCTTGATAAGCTCAGTTGTACAGGAGATAAACAAATGGGTCCCCTCATAGGATGTGGATGTAGGGTTCATTCTTCAGGTTGTTAAACTCAAAGTGATGATTTTCACAGTTCCCTGGGAAACTGGTTAAGCATAACATTTTCTGAAAGCCCATCCCCAGAAACTCAGAGTTGAGATATTACAAATCTATATTCTAATGCATATGTTACCTGTGCTTGATATAGTCCTCAAGCTTTTGGGCCCTACACAGATACCTACACTTTGAAGTAGACTTACAGTTTCTCGAGACAGTCCCACTGTATAGTTCAGGTGGACCTTGAACTATGTAGCCCAGGATAACAGGGATCCTACCTCAGCCTCCCAAGTGTTGGCATTACAGGTGTGCGCCACCATGCCCAGCCACAATTTTACTTTATTTTTTGCAGAACCGGGGATTGAACTCAGGCCCTTGCGTTCGCCAGGGAAGCACTTATTCTACTGAGCCATCTCCCTGGCCCCCAGCCACCATTTTAAATGAAGATGCAGTTACTCAGATTTATTGATTAAAATAAATGATTCTTTCTTCAAGATTACTCTCTAGGATGTAATATGGTTGTGAAAAGGAAAATTTTTCTTTTGCTACTGCTCAGAACCAAGGTGATTCTTTAATGAAATTTTCATTAAGAATTGTTCTGAGGTTAGTAGAATGTCCTTTGATGATGTCTACCATGGTTTGTAATTTGCTTAGTTCACAGATACTGTAAAACGTAGGCTTTAAACCTGATCAACCTGCTCAGATTAGCTTGCTGGCATGTGGGTGACCCAGAACTGACTGTAATCAGCATGGGAAGTACTGTAATCACTTTGAACATAGCCAGGCCTTCTCTGTGATCAGTGTGCTCAAATCACCATTGTATGGTGTGACACTGTTGCTGTTCGCAGTATGTCATGCTTTGAATTCACACATTCAGTTTATACAAACTGGATGAGTTTGTATTCATTTCTGAATCTTAATGACATGTACTTTTTTCTCATAATTTTCAAAAGTTGAAATATAACTTGAGTGGGCAGAGCTATATCTAAAGGCTCAAGGAGGGAGTCTGTACTTCTGTGTTGAACTTATAGTTAGTGCCGATAACATCGGGGACCTCAGCCAGGTTGTTACGTGGCTGTGATAGTCTGTTTTCTCCTCAGCACACTGAATTGGAAAGCAGTTACTTTACTGGATGAGAGTATAGAAATTTTCTGTTGGTGTCACAGTTACGTACTTCATTAATTTGGTTGTATAGATGAGCAAGTCTGGCCTTAGAGCCAGATAGCTAGGTTTTCTAAATCTAGAGCCTTGTTTCTTTAATTTTATGAAGTTTAACCCTTTATTTTGTTTTTTTGCTTGTTTGAGACAAGGTCTTGCTATGTGACTGGCCTTCAATTCATGACAATCTTCCTAAGTCTCCCAAATGCTGGGATAACAGGCATACCACCACACCCAGCACCCTCATTTTTTTTTTTAATATAGTAATTCCCAACTTACTAATATTTGAGTTGTAAACTTTCACAGATACGAGCAGACCTCGCGTTATGAACATTTGTAGTTGCAAACAAATAGTGGAAGTAGCTCATGTGTCTCCCGGACATTGTCACATTTGTACTTACAGTACGGTGTGTAGTATATAGTAGTGCAGTGTGCTCAGTCAGCCCAGAATGTGATAGGAAGCAAGAGGAAGAGCAGTGGTGATGTGGAGCGTACTGCTAGGAAGCACAAAGTAGTAACCATGGGAACAAAAGTGAAAAATAACAGTGTAAGACTTACTTCGTTGAAGTTATGAAGGAACCCATATGAATGTTGCCCCAGAATGGAACCCATTTGTGAGTTGGCGACTTATTGTATTGGAAACTGTCATGTCCTGAATGCAGAAGGGAACTAACTAGGCTTTGTATGTTTCTGACTATGGAAAAAGGTTCTTTGTCCTGTAACCATTTGAAAGCAAACTAGATTATCCACTGAAGTCTAGAACTACAAATAGCACTAAAAGATAGAAGTATATGGGCTGGTGAGATGGCTCAGTGGTCTAAAGCACCTACTTAGAACAAGCTAAGCTAAGCAAAAGCACAGGGACCGCGGTTCAATCCCCCAGCACCACATGCCAGCCAGCCCTGCCCCCTGGTGGGCTGAGCTGGCCACACACACACACCCACCCACACACACACACACACACACACACACACAAAATAAAAGAAGTATAAAGTGATCTATTAGCAGTTTTGAAGTTCTATAAAATATTTGGGCTTATTTGATTTTTATAAATTTCTCCCAAAAGGGTGGGGTCATAGCTTCATGTTAGAGAGCTTATGTAGGATACCTAAGGCCCTAGTCTCAATCCCTAGCACTGCAAGGGAAAACATTTTTCCTTTTACTTCTGATTTTTGTTTTAGAATTTTTAT